AATAATTATGGGAGCTTTACTTTTAAATGTTCTCTAAATAGTACACTCTAAACAATGATGCGTTGTTTTAATCCAAATTTGGGTCAAATATGGACAAACCCAAAAGTTGGGTTAAAAAATGTAACTTAAAATGTTAACCCAACTTCAACTTTTACTTTCAACGGTACATTTTTTAATTACATTTTTAACCCAACATTTGGGTTTGTCTATATTTGACCCAAATTTGGTTTGAAAAAACCCAGCATTTTTTAGAGTGTAACATATATAGCCACTTGTTAGCAACCACATTTTTCAAGACAAATCTCAGTAACACTTTGATGTATAATGCATCATAAAAGTATTCATAATATATGTTATAATAATGCATTATATCTTTTCATAAATAATTGTAACCAAAGTTAAAATGCATTATAATATTTGCAGGTTAATTGTTACATTTGAAATTGGTTGTTTGTTATGCATTATATTGTACTATATGCACTATATTTTCTAAAGGCATAACATATTAGCATATATTATAACTTGGTTACACTTGTTCTTAAGACCATACAATGCATTATAAGGTGGGAAGCAAGGCAAAATTAAAGCATTAAAAATACTGTTTTACCAAAATCTCAAGAGGTATTATTGATTAAAATGTGAAAATATCTTGAGATTGTGTTCACCACAGACCTTATTTCAGGCATTTAACCAAAAACCCATTCAAAAAATCTGGACGATGGAAGAACTTGATTTTGGCTTAAAAAATACATAATTCTTGCAGCTCACTATTTAAAAAAGCAACAGATTGTGCCTTCCCTCTAATTAAACACTCGCTCTAGCACTTCTTTTTTAAAAAAAAAAAAAAAAAACATTATAAAATACAAAGTGAGGCAGTCACAGCCAAGAACCACCCAGACAGCATGGCCGTCATGTCAAATGAGATATTTCAAGAAATACTAAATGAAGTAGGCTAAAGCACTAATGAAGCTGTTGAATCTAATGAATTCCTCGAAAGGAGTCAGAAAATGAGCTAAATAACCCTCATTAACATTCTCTTTTAAGATTGAAAGCAAGAGAGAGAGAGAGAGAGAGAGAGAGAGAGAGAGGGAAGGTGCCATTCAACAAAGCATTTCCTGCACACCCATAATAGCTCATGACATAACTACCTACTTAGACAGCATATAAGATTTTGGCCAAAAACTAAAGAAACATCACCCAAAGTAAATCCCAGAAAGCACTCGAATGAGCACAGTGAATACATATATTTATATAGTATTAAATTATTATTTCATTATACATAGCCGTAGCCCCGCCCCTTTTCAGCGTTGCGCTCGTTGTCTTTTGACTTCCGGTCTGTATTTCCAGAGATCTTGCATAGGTATGAATGCACTGCTCGTAAAAAAATTCCCGGTCGACATTTGTTAAGACATCTGCTTTACAATGCTTATGATAAACATTACAATGTTCATGATAACTTTTGTTAACTCTACAATAAGTAAATCCACTTCACCAGCTACTGGACAGCGATGCCATAGAAATACACAGAGCAACCGCAAAACCGGAAGTTCAAAGACAATTTTCTGAAGATGACGGCGCCAACGTTTCTCTGGTGCATAAGTTTGGGGTCAGTACGTTTTTTTAAATGGATTTATTCACAAGATAGCATTAAATTGCTCCTAACGTGACAGTAAAGACATTTATAATGTGCAAAAATAGTCTTTTGAACTTGTAAAATGTATCAAGAAAATGTATTAGGGTCTCCACGATAATACTTAGCAAAACAACTGTTTTCAATGCTGAAAATGAAAATATTAAGAAATATTTCTTGAGCAGTAAATCAGATTAAAAATATTTCTGAAGGATCATGTGACACTAAAGACTAGAGGAAGGATCATTTCAGAATTCAAATAATAAACAGTTATTTTAAATTGTAATATTTCACAATATATTTTAATGTATTTTTGACATCTTATTCTAAAAAAACCCAAAACATTACAAAATCTTTCTGACCCCCAACTTTTGAATGGAAGTGTATCTGTAAGTTTGCCTATTTGAGTTGGTTACATCATTTTCTCAGCACCATACTAACACTAGACTATGTGAGTCAAATCTATCATATTTTGTGCCACATTAAGTTATCCCCTCATACGGTGCAATCATAATTCGGACACTATTAGAAGGCAGCTTCCAATAGGCATTATAGTTAGTAGACAACAAGGCAGCTCACTAAGTTTTGGAACAGAGGTCTTATTGCCTGTACAAGTACTTATTTATGGCACGCTCAAACCCACACACTAACAACAGAAGATTGTGTGTATGTTTAAAATGAGCTGTGTGTGTGTGTGTATCTAAGTGTGTGTGCACATGCTGAGAAATGGGGAGGTAAATGAAGATTTCTGCCTTAACACTAATACTGTTGATCCTGTGAAGCTGAGAGAATAAATCGGCATAACTATTCGATGTGTGTGTTCTAATGCGTGAGTGTGTAAGAGAGGTTGCGTGTGACTCTTAAGAAAGGTCGTCTCAATATTGCGCCCCTCTCAAGCTTAGGCCAAGCTGATTATGATATCTCAGCATGTTTCTGATTGGCTCATTTTTGTATAGTGGAGTGTCTGATTGGTCAAGTTCTCTGTTTGTGTTAATGACATTTGTTATGAGTGTGCTTAACTGTATTGTTTCAAATGAATAAATACAAATTATTTAAACGTGTAGATATTAGTTTCTCTCAGTTATTTAACACACACGCATACTGAGTCAAACTTAAAAACATCTGAATGTTATTGCATTAGATAACACAATATAAATCCATGTAGCATTTGAACACGAATAACACATATAATATAGCAACAAAAGATGCTAAAATGTAAAATTGATGTTAGCCATATAATGTGGAGACCAGTTAAAAATCCTTGCAAAAAAAAGGTAAAAGTGTGAGTATATACTATTATTATTTAAAGAAAAAAATGTGCTTGATATTTTATCTTATGCAATGAGATTTAATTGCATAAGTTGGGTTAAAAATATCACTAAAAAATGTAACCTAATGGCTGGGTTTGTCCATTTTGACCCAAAGTTGGGTTAAAACAACCCAGCAATTTTTAGAGTGTTGTATAACAAAGAAATGCAAATAATTTAAATTGCTTTCTCATTGCCTTTTATGACGTTTGAAAGAAAAGAAAAGGATAAGAAAAAAAAAAGAAAAGAACAAGAATAAAAAGAGCATATGATCGCATACATCTTATTTCTAAAATTAAACCAGGAACTATTTTATATGCCTCTTTTTAAAAAAAAAAAAAATCAAGACAAAAATGAAAAATGAAACCAAATATGATAAAATAATGTATAGATCATATAAAATTTTCCTGAAGTGTAAATATAATAAAAATAATAACATAACAACATGTTTTTGTTAACCCTTCGTCAACCCTTCCCCCCTCAAAAATGCTTATAGACTTCCAATCATAATGCAGTTTTGCAATATGACATGTAGCCTAGAACGTGTACAAAACTAAATTCTAAACAACATGAGTTTCGCGAGGAAATGAAGAAAAGGGGAGCGGGAGAGCACAGCTGGGTCCTTTTGAAAGAGCAAAATTAAAATGGAAAAATCATTTTTCTTTTCACAGATCTTCAAAGAGGTGTGTGTGTGTGTTGTGTGTGTGTGTGTGTGTGTGTGTGTGTGTGTGTGTGTGTGTGTGTGTGTGTGTGTGTGTGTGTGTGTGTGTGTGTGTGTGTGTGTGGTGTGTGTGTGTGTGTGTGTGTGTGTGTTGGTTTTTGTGAATTACGAGGACATTTCACATGAATACACACAACACTATGGGGACATTTTGAATTATGGGGACATGACCGGTGTCCTCATAATTCTAACAGTGTAGAAGTGCTTCTATACCTAGAGGGAGCTCAAATCCAAAATTTCTCCACAAGTCCCCATAGTTCACATTTACATGATTTTGTGTAAAACGTGTGTATCGAGACAGTGCCCCTGTAGGTGGGTCTGGGGTACTGCACCTCCTCATGAATATTCACACTTGTGTATGAAATCGCAGTTTGTGATTGGCTGTGACCGCCGGAAGTCCTCATAATTTCGGGTTTTGTCAGACCACTGTGTTAATGTGTTTACCTCACACGAGTTAATGCAGTTTACTAACTATTTAAACATTATTGTTTTATAATTTATCAATTGTCAATGAAATATATAAATGCAGAGTGACCCTGCAATGATAAATAATCCGTAAATATCATATTATGAAAAATGAAAATAGCTTGAAAGCTGTTCGCAATCAGTTTAATGGAGAAACGCGACCCTAACCACACTATTAACTGCTATATCATAGACTATATCATAGATGGCTATTTACATACATAATGGTATTATTATTCTACAATATCGTTTATTATAATCCATATGGTCTAATAATCATAGTTTAGCGTCGCGTTTATTTCCTGTTTGGACCGGGTGGAAACTGCAGCTGAGAAGACACCTGTGATTTGGACCTGTTTAAAGCAACTATTACTGGAAAGGTAAGCTTTACTGCTGTTTAATAGCTTGTAGGTCAGTTTGTCTTGTTTGTGCATGTCTTGTAAGCTCTTTGCTGCTCGGTTTACTGTAATGAAGCCGCTAGCGCCAGATGCTAACGATGCTAACGACCTTTACAGTGATCGCCATTCTGTTTACAGACTGTCAGGAGAGAATATGAGATGTTTGACAGTTTAACTAGTTTTAGTTTGCAATATAATTGTAATTGTAACATAAAATAGGCTAGCCATGATCAAAATAAGGAGATGTCATGACTCTGTGAAGGGGCGAGGTTTCCCCAGTACAGTATCCTGACATGCTACTGTAAATATTACTGCAGTTCTGCTGGCTTTAGAGATTGGTCATGTGCTCTTATTCCTCCTGCATGTAATACCATATAATCTGTACTAATAGAACTGTCAGTCTTAATGTTTATACTGAAAACAAACCTGCTGAATATGTCAAATGAAATGCAATATTGAGTATTAATGAGGGTCTTTTGACTAGTATTAATGAGGGTCTTTTCTATGACAGCAGACACTCTGAGAGCCCAAGCCACTGGATGAGGCGTAGTTTTCACTTCAGAACAAAGACAGATTCATCAATGATTTTAAAGGTGAGTTAAATGGTTTGATAGAGTTAAGTTTAAGTGAAGTGAAGTGAAGTTTAAGTGAAATTAATGTGTTTAATAAAACTGTGTCATGTACATGATATGTTATTTACAGTGATGGTGTTTCTTCTTCTCTGTTGTTGTGTAGGGAGAGGAGTGTTCAGTTGCTCTGAGTTTCATAAGGGAGATTTCCTGCTTGAATATGGAGGAGACTAAGAAAAGAAGAAGAACGAGAGCGAAGGCAAAGAGTATCTCATCATGACGAGTTTCATTACGATGGAAAACTCCTCTGGTATGTACAAGTGTTTGATGCGTATGTAACCTTTGTACTTATAGCCCAGATTCGATCACGAGTGGACGAGGGACACACATTCCTGGTTACACCTGGTGTTTTAATCCGTCTTTTGCCACTTTAACCACAGATTTCTTCGTGGTGAGGGTAGATCTTTTTCGATCTAATTGATGAAATAAGCTTACGCAATTTACATATGAGCGCGACCAGCATACACATGTGTTTTATTTTCAACTGTTTATGTTCACTTAAAGGGAAACTTCACCTCTGGGAAGATAAATGTGTATTTAAAATTGGTCATTTATATAGTAGAAATATTAAATTATTTTTGAAATTGAAGCATTCTAGACTGAGAAAATGTATTTTTTACTCATGTGGCTGAAAGATGACAACTCCCAGAATGCACTTGCTTTGCTGCCCTTACGAGGCCACTCCCAAACCACGCCTACCAGTTACAGGCGGCAGAATCCAAAAAATGAATACAACTACGCTTGCTTTGATACATCGTGAGTTATTTGATAAATTTACATCGAAATGGTGCTAAATTGCATTGTACTGGGATGTACTAGCCTAATGTATATAACACAACTTAGACTTTCACAGTAAAAATATGATGTCAGGCAGGACCATGTCAACACAGTAGCTTAGTAGCTCTGCTTATGAACTGTTTTCCTCCAATTGAAATCACTATTTCTCTAAGTTAATACATTGTCTAGGCTAATCCATACTAACACTAAAGATTTATAAAAAGAACCACAACCAATGTGAGTTATAACTTTTAATTAAAAAAATAATTATTAACTTTTTTACTCTCAAAGCTCTGCGGATTCAGTGATCTCACCAGACGAAAATGGCATCGCTGAGATTCGCGACAGCAATAGGACTCTATATCTGTTTCCATAGGTGCAGAGCGAAAGCACTCACGTGGCCCAGCTCAAGTCTGGCTGGGCTCAGGTCTCGCTCCGGCCGCCTCTTGTTCCTCCATCTCCCGCAACTGTTTATCGCTGTATTGCGGCTCGTACAGATAGCCGCGAGCATCAGATTCTCGCTCGCCCCAGCTGGAGTCTGTCTTGCTCCGGCCGACTCTTGTTCCTCCATCTCCCGCAACAGGCTCCCGCGAGCATCAGATTCTCTCAACAGATCTTTGAAATCCCCTTCTGCCATTTCAACTTCAAAACTACCTTACACCATCGTGATTAGCCTACTATACAAACTTTCTATACAGACCAAGAGGCAAGAGCCGTTAGCTTAGCTTCTACAGAAAGACGGCTGACACGATCTTTACATTCGGTCAGTGAGATCCCGCCCCATATGGGCGTGGTGAAAACATGCTGAACACTGACTGTAGTCTTTAGCCTCTGGCCCAAAAATCCTCCGATGATGCAAAATGACGATTTTTGCGTTATCGGAGGATTTTTTCCAGACTAAAAATGAATTTTTCTCTCATATCAGGGTAGGGTTGGGAATCGTGGCAAATTTTCCGGTTCTGATTCCGGTTCCGCCAAACGATTCCGGTTCCGGTTCCCATTAATTAAAAAATATTAGTAAGAGATAAATCCACAATCCTTTTTCTGTTTATTTCTTATAGTACTTGACAAATGAGTTTAACAGACTGGTAATGTAAATAAATTGAACATATTATCAAGCAATTTTTGCACAAAAAAATTAAATTCTGAAGAAAAAAAAATTCTGCATTCTAGAATAATAGGCTATAGGACCTCTCCTTGCTTATTGTATCTCCAACAGTGAAGAATACCCTCCCAGAAGGGGTAGAATATGCTTGAACACACATGCAAGATGTGTAAAGAACAGATTATTTTTTTAAACGGTTTTAATGATTGATTCATAAAGACTTTACTTCTTTCATTACTGGATAAATCGGCGCTCTAACAGAACTGCATGCGTCTTGCGGAAGAACATTGTTGCCGGAGCTACTTTTCTCTGTTTATGTCCATGACGAGTCACCATGCGAGTCGCGCAGGCATTGGGCTACCCCGCAGCAGCTGCGATCCGCCGGCCAGTCTAAACAAGAAGTCAGAGTATTAACGCTTATTACAGGCTTAACGTAGTGATTCAAGATAAGACAAAAACACGATTTTAATAAAAGGCATTCATGATGCACTCGCTCATTGTATACATATTGTAAATTCTGAACACACAAAAAGTTACGGACTGAACCGAAACTTAGGAATTTTACACGGTTCCGGTATTTTTTCAAAAACACAACCGGTTCTGGATAAGAACCGGTTCTCGGTTCCCAACCCTATATGAGGGGGATATGAGAGGGGAGAAGCACGGTAATTCGAAAATACTACTGGCTTTCTACTGATACAAAGCTTAATGCTAAATCCTGGAAGTATCCCTTTAAGACCAACTGTGTTTCATTTTGACATAATTTTGTGTGAATTTGTCTGTTCAAGCTTGAACTGTCATTTGTTTAGTGTTGATCAGCCCGAGATGACGGTTCCCTTGGTTGACCATATGAACCCGACCTGCAGGATGAAGACTATCGCTGTGGATGGAAAACCTCAGCTATGCTTGTTTGCTCCAAACAATGAAGAGATCACATATAATCATGGTGATCCTGAGTGGCCAAGTGATGCACGGTATGGAAACTTCACATTAACTATTTTTAATTTGTTGGATTATTTTAAAGGTTAATGTTACCCAAGGTAATGTTCATGTGTGTCAGTGTTAGTGTGTGACTTACACCTTATTTATGAGGATATCTGTTTTATGAGGACATCATCATCATAAGGTGTTCTTGATGTTTGACTTGTCTGAAGAATCGGTGTGTGTGTGTGTTTGACAAAAGCCTGCTTTATGAGGACACAGGGGTGCACTGATATGGAATATTAAAATTGATCCTGATAACCCATAACTTGTAGCTCATTGTGGCCAATACTGATATAGAGAACTCATATTTGTGTAAATATTTTTGGTTTATTATGAATCTGGCAGGGCAGATTAGACTGTGCTGGGCCGCCAGACTACAGGTTTTTTTTTACTTTTTACTTCTGTTAGGGTTATCTTCTTACTAGGTATTAATTATCTATTGTATAGTTTGTATTGTTTTTCTATTTAGTGTGACTTTATGTATTGTAGAGCACTTTGGCTCAACCATGAGTTGTGTTAAAATGTATTATTCCATATCAGTGAACCCCTGTGTCCCCATAATAACTAGTGTCCTCATAAAGCAGGCTTTTGTCAAACACACACACACACACCGATTCTTCAGACAAGTCAAACATCAAGAACATCATCTCATGATGATGATGTCCTCATAAAACAGATGTCCTCATAAATCGGGTGTAAGTCACACACAAACTGGCCAATACTAATATAGAAAACTCATATTTGTGCTTGTAAAATATAATCTTTCTTTATTTTATTTATTTATAAAGCACCTTTTACACAACTTATGGTTGATTTTACAATACACATTAAGTCAAACTGATGTTAGCTAACCCTAACCCTAACCATAACCCTAACCCTAACTGAAGTAAAGTTATGGTAAAACCTGAAGTCTGGCGGCCCAGCACAGTCTAATCTGCCCTGCCAGATTCATAATGAACCAAAAATATTTTTAACTATTTCTCAAAGGAAAGTCGTACTAATAGTAGTAAGTTTAGTAACTATCTCTGGCCAAACTATTTAAAAATGGCAGGGTTATTCTGGATACTCCATTTGGCGTGTGCATTGATGACGCAGTGAATAGAGATGATTCTCTCTGACCAATTAGCAGTCGTTATTGTTTTTATGTCATATTTTAGTATTGCCTCGGCTCGCCTTAGCTCGCTCAGAACCTTGCTGGAGGTGATACAAAAAAAAGTACCTAAAAGCAGGAACGGGTTCAACCTTTACACAGTGGAAAACCAAACAAAGGCGAGCTGAGCCGAACTGCTACTGTGTAGTGGAAAAGCGCCATTAGACTGTGCTGGGCCGTCAGAGTACAGGTTTAACCATAACTCTACTTACTTCAGTTAGGGTTAGGGTTATGGTTAGGGTTAGGATTATGGTTAGGGTTAGCTAACATCAGTTTGACCTAATGTGTATTGTAAAATCAACCATGAGTTGTGTAAAATGTGCTTTATAAATAAATAAAATAAAGAAAGATTATATTTTACAAGCACAAATATGAGTTTTCTATATTAGTATTGGCCAGTTTGTGTGTGACTTACACCCGATTTATGAGGACATCTGTTTTATGAGGACATCATCATCATGAGATGATGTTCTTGATGTTTGACTTGTCTGAAGAATCGGTGTGTGTGTGTGTTTGACAAAAGCCTTTATGAGGACACTAGTTATTATAGGGACACAGGGGTGCACTGATATGGAATATTAAAATTGATCCTAATAACCCATAACTTGTAGCTCATTGTGGCCAATACTGATATAGAGAACTCATATTTGTGTAAATATTTTTGGTTTATTATGAATCTGGCAGGGCAGATTAGACTGTGCTTGGGCCGCCAGACTACAGGGTTTTTTTTTTACTTTTTACTTCTGTTAGGGTTATCTTCTTACTAGGTATTAATTATCTATTGTATAGTTTGTATTGTTTTTCTATTTAGTGTGACTTTATGTATTGTAGAGCACTTTGGCTCAACCATGAGTTGTGTTAAAATGTATTATTCCATATCAGTGAACCCCTGTGTCCCCATAATAACTAGTGTCCTCATAAAGCAGGCTTTTGTCAAACACACACACACACACCGATTCTTCAGACAAGTCAAACATCAAGAACATCATCTCATGATGATGATGTCCTCATAAAACAGATGTCCTCATAAATCGGGTGTAAGTCACACACAAACTGGCCAATACTAATATAGAAAACTCATATTTGTGCTTGTAAAATATAATCTTTCTTTATTTTATTTATTTATAAAGCACCTTTTACACAACTTATGGTTGATTTTACAATACACATTAAGTCAAACTGATGTTAGCTAACCCTAACCCTAACCATAACCCTAACCCTAACTGAAGTAAAGTTATGGTCAAACCTGAAGTCTGGCGGCCCAGCACAGTCTAATCTGCCCTGCCAGATTCATAATGAACCAAAAATATTTTTAACTATTTCTCAAAGGAAAGTCGTACTAATAGTAGTAAGTTTAGTAACTATCTCTGGCCAAACTATTTAAAAATGGCAGGGTTATTCTGGATACTCCATTTGGCGTGTGCATTGATGACGCAGTGAATAGAGATGATTCTCTCTTACCAATTAGCAGTCGTTATTGTTTTTATGTCATATTTTAGTATTGCCTCGGCTCGCCTTAGCTCGCTCAGAACCTTGCTGGAGGTGATACAAAAAAAAGTACCTAAAAGCAGGAACGGGTTCAACCTTTACACAGTGGAAAACCAAACAAAGGCGAGCTGAGCCGAACTGCTACTGTGTAGTGGAAAAGCACCATTAGACTGTGCTGGGCCGTCAGAGTACAGGTTTAACCATAACTCTACTTACTTCAGTTAGGGTTAGGGTTATGGTTAGGGTTAGGATTATGGTTAGGGTTAGCTAACATCAGTTTGACCTAATGTGTATTGTAAAATCAACCATGAGTTGTGTAAAAGGTGCTTTATAAATAAATAAAATAAAGAAAGATTATATTTTACAAGCACAAATATGAGTTTTCTATATTAGTATTGGCCAGTTTGTGTGTGACTTACACCCGATTTATGAGGACATCTGTTTTATGAGGACATCATCATCATGAGATGATGTTCTTGATGTTTGACTTGTCTGAAGAATCGGTGTGTGTGTGTGTTTGACAAAAGCCTGCTTTATGAGGACACTAGTTATTATGGGGACACAGGGGTTCACTGATATAGAATAATACATTTTAACACAACTCATGGTTGAGCCAAAGTGCTCTACAATACATAAAGTCACACTAAATAGAAAAACAATACAACTATACAATAGATAATTAATACCTAGTAAGAAGATAACCCTAACAGAAGTAAAAAGTAAAAAAAAAACCCTGTAGTCTGGCGGCCCAAGCACAGTCTAATCTGCCCTGCCAGATTCATAATAAACCAAAAATATTTACACAAATATGAGTTCTCTATATCAGTATTGGCCACAATGAGCTACAAGTTATGGGTTATTAGGATCAATTTTAATATTCCATATCAGTGCACCCCTGTGTCCCTATAATAACTAGTGTCCTCATAAAGGCTTTTGTCAAACACACACACACACCGATTCTTCAGACAAGTCAAACATCAAGAACATCATCTCATGATGATGATGTCCTCATAAAACAGATGTCCTCATAAATCGGGTGTAAGTCACACACAAACTGGCCAATACTAATATAGAAAACTCATATTTGTGCTTGTAAAATATAATCTTTCTTTATTTTATTTATTTATAAAGCACATTTTACACAACTCATGGTTGATTTTACAATACACATTAGGTCAAACTGATGTTAGCTAACCCTAACCATAATCCTAACCCTAACCATAACCCTAACCCTAACTGAAGTAAGTAGAGTTATGGTTAAACCTGTACTCTGACGGCCCAGCACAGTCTAATGGCGCTTTTCCACTACACAGTAGCAGTTCGGCTCAGCTCGCCTTTGTTTGGTTTTCCACTGTGTAAAGGTTGAACCCGTTCCTGCTTTTAGGTACTTTTTTTTGTATCACCTCCAGCAAGGTTCTGAGCGAGCTAAGGCGAGCCGAGGCAATACTAAAATATGACATAAAAACAATAACGACTGCTAATTGGTCAGAGAGAATCATCTCTATTCACTGCGTCATCAATGCACACGCCAAATGGAGTATCCAGAATAACCCTGCCATTTTTAAATAGTTTGGCCAGAGATAGTTACTAAACTTACTACTATTAGTACGACTTTCCTTTGAGAAATAGTTAAAAATATTTTTGGTTCATTATGAATCTGGCAGGGCAGATTAGACTGTGCTGGGCCGCCAGACTTCAGGTTTTACCATAACTTTACTTCAGTTAGGGTTAGGGTTATGGTTAGGGTTAGGGTTAGCTAACATCAGTTTGACTTAATGTGTATTGTAAAATCAACCATAAGTTGTGTAAAAGGTGCTATATAAATAAATAAAATAAAGAAAGATTATATTTTACAAGCACAAATATGAGTTTTCTATATTAGTATTGGCCAGTTTGTGTGTGACTTACACCCGATTTATGAGGACATTTGTTTTATGAGGACATCATCAGCATGAGATGATGTTCTTGATGTTTGACTTGTCTGAAGAATCGGTGTGTGTGTGTGTTTGACAAAAGCCTGCTTTATGAGGACACTAGTTATTATGGGGACACAGGGGTTCACTGATATGGAATAACACATTTTAACACAACTCATGGTTGAGCCAAAGTGCTCTACAATACATAAAGTCACACTAAATAGAAAAACAATACAACTATACAATAGAGGGTATGCGCGTGACGTCACCGTCAGCCGGAGTGTCTGCAGTTCCTCACAGTGAGTGGCAAAAAGACTTGAGCGGCTGTATATGTGTTCAGCGTGAATGACACGAAAAACAAAAACAACACACACAAATAAAGTGGGAAAGAGATTTGCGATTGACTGTACAACTAGATTTGACAAAAAATCGCAGGTATATTTTTACAGACTGCTATAGAAAGAGGAGCAAATGGATCGCTGCAATTCACAGAAACAACTGGACTCCAGTCAGCCAAAGGTGGATTTGCAGTTATCATTTTGTGTCAATATGCTGAATTTAGGTGTAAAACCATACCCATATAATTTGTATTGTTATATATATTAACAACTCATCAATTAAATATTTATCATTGCATTTTCTGCATTATTGGATGTTTTTTAGTAAACACTGACCAAAAAAAAACCTATAAAGTTTTAGGGCTGGACGATATGATGATATATATAGGCTATATATAACACTCATATAAGTGATTAACTGGATTTAGACCTACCAATATTGTATTTATATAAAGCGTTCACAGGCAAATTTGCTTTATGTTTAGGTCTATATTGCTTTTATTTCCCCGGTGTCGAAATCAGGCAAACATAAATGTCAGGCAACACGATTCCTGTCTGCATGTCAATATCCATGGATCACTGGATCTTTCGTAAGTTGTAAGGAACACTATATTGAGTCCAACATTTAGTTGAAATTGCTAAAATTGTTCGTTTTAGTCCCATTTTCGCAGTTCCCCCTATTAAATCCAGTCACGTAGCAGGTCTTTTGCCACTCAGTCGGGCTGAGGGGGGTTGTTCCGGCGGGAAAGTCACGTCAATGCATTCCCTCTATAGATAATTAATACCTAGTAAGAAGCTAACCCTAACAGAAGTAAAAAGTAAAAAAAAAATCTGTAGTCTGGGGCCTTAAATATTGATTTCTGATAAATTGTTATTGAATGAAATTATTTGGTATTCTTGCATATTTTTTAATGATATATACATGATTATAAAATAAACTCAAATCAATATTTCACGTTCACATATTTAGTGGTCAGTAGCTGTGGGACCCTGATCAACCTGTCCATGATTATTTTGCATTATTTACTAGGGGTGTAACGGTTCACAAAATGCACGGTTCGATATGATACAGTGGTGACACGGTTCGGTATGTTTTCGATACAGCAAAAAGAATGAAATGCCAGAGAAATTTCCTTGATTTTCAAATTTGTATTCATTTATTAAAACTAACATCATAAAGTATCTTTTTTTTAATTTGAACAATGATGGAGCTATACTTGACTCTTCTTAGCAGCATATAAAGCAAAAACTTGTAAAAAAAAGTTTTTCAGTAGCATATAAAGCTCATTGTAAAGAAAATTAAATGTAATATTGTAGTAGTTACGAATAGGGATAACAAAGGTTATTTTATTTGGTCCAAACCCGTAACGGTTCGTTAAGCACAAATGAGTTGCGCAGTTTCGTTCCGCTTTCATCACGTTTGCATCAGTTGGGCAGTGTTGTGGTGGTCGCGCCAGTGCAAATACTAACATAATTTTGGTTGGCAGGAAAAATGGTCCATCAAATCATTTGATTTGAAATACATACCAAACTGAAAGCCTCGTACCAAACAGTTCAATACGAATACGTGTACCGTTAAACCCCTATTATTTACTGGCTATATATTATGCCTTAGACACATTTGAGATTTTTGGGGGTTTAACAATGTTTTATAACTCTTAGAGGAAGTGTTTATGTATGTAAAGTTTCTTCTTATTTTCAGATGAGCCATTTGAAAACTCACATGGCTGAAGTTGGGGTGATCTCGGGAGGCGATACCTTCAGACTGACGGCAGGAGGTCTGTACTCTATCACAGCTTCAATTGGTCATGGACCGCCCAAGTCGACGTTTGACCGACTGACATGCAAGGTAACCAATGACCGTTTTGTTCCATGTCATGTTTAGGGGTGTGCAAATGTAACATCGATGTGCCTACAATAACAGACGGCGTGAATCTAAATTCTTCAAGAACGTGCAGGTTTACTGCAACAGTAGAGCTGCGAACCTCACATAGTTTTGAAAATCCAGCAATTAGTTAATCTTGGTAAGCACTCATTGTCACAGTTGTAAACACGATGGCATTCTTCTTCCATGATGGGGTTCCATCAAGGTCGGTCCGAAATCTTGGAGTAATCTTTGATGACCAGCTGACCTTCTCAGACCATATTACAAAGATAGCTCAATCATGCAGGTTTGCACTGCATAACATCAGGAAGATCAGACCTTTCCTAACTGAGCAAGCAACATGGCATCTTGTCCAGGCCCTGGTCATCTCTAGGCTTGACTACTGCAATGTTCTTCTGGCTGGACTTCCATCATGTGCAATTAAACCTCTACAAATGATCATCTCTCTGCACTGGCTGTCACTCGCTGCTCTCATCAAGTTCAAGGCGTTGACTCTTGCGTGCGTATTGACCACAGGATCAGCTCCCTTCACTCGCTCACGAGTCTACATCCCTCCCTACCAGAAGCCTACGATCGATCAATGAGCGACGGCTCGTGGTACCATCACAAAGAGCCACAAAATCACTCTCCAGAACATTTTCATTCATGGTTCCAAGCCGGTGGAATGATCTGCCCATCATCATCCGGAACACAGAATCCCTGACAGCATTCACAACTGAAAACTTATCTCTTCTGTGAGCACTTAACATAAAAAACAAACAAACATATTCTTTAAATCCTTACTTGCCTGGTTTATGCTACTCTGAGCAATGTTTGAACTTTGTATTTTGAACACTTCTTGTGTTGTTATTGCCTCTTCACAATGAGTTGTTTGATTTAGTCCTCAGTTGTAAGTCGCTTTGGATAAAGGCGTCTGCTAAATGACTAAATGTAAATGTAAAATGCTCATACAGCATTTCAAAAATTAAAAGAGATGGCATCTCAAAGATATGCAGAAATGGCCAAAGCAACACTTGCCAGAATGATTGTTTCTTGATTGATCGTAGATGTGCTGGAGAGGTCTTTAAATTGCTACTCAAAGGCTTTAAAGAAAGGCACAGCACTTGCCACGGGCCAGGCTTGAACAGAAACTCTGCAGCCAAAGGGGGAAGAAAGGTTGCTGTTCTTCTCTCGCCTGATATGGTTGATGCCCTGACACTGCTGGTCAGCAAGAGAAGTGAATGTGGAGTGCTGGACACTAATGAATTCTGGTTTGCCAGAGTCACTACTGAGGCCCTGACTCTCTTAGGGCCTATGCAGGTCAATGTGCAGCTCATAATCCAGAGTTTCTTGGATCAACTCTTCTGTGCAAACACATAGCTACTCTCTCCCAGATCCTAAACCTGAAAAACGATGTAGTGGATCAGGTCACCAACTTGTTGGGACATGATATCCACATCTATCGTGACGATTACAGCCCAGAAGCCACTTCTGGGCTGGCTAAAATATCAAAGTTTCTGCTAGCCATGGAAAAGGGCCGCTTTCCTAATATTCAATGTCACATGATGACATTGAGACTGAAGGTCTATCCTAGTGTAGGAGGTTAAGTGGATCTTTTACACTCATAGGGAGGTTTAAGGAAACTGGTGTGTGATTGTGTGTGCATGACTTAAGGTAACTTTACAGTTAAATACCTTTTAAACAGATATCAATGTTTCTCATATTCTTATTTCTCTTTTACTTCAAGATGAGATCAGAATGACTGGATGCCAGTAATCCTGATGAAAGCCATCCTGAGGATGATCATTTCTCCAATGCTTTTGGTATGTCAGCAGTTTGTTTTATTACAGAAATTAGTGACTAATATTGTTATTGTGGTGTCTACCAATAAGCTGATAATTATTTTCATGTTATGGCCAAAAACTGATCAAATTACAGTTGACCATAAGTTTAAAAAGGAGATCTTAATGGACTGATAACTTTAAGTCCTTTTAAATATACTTAACAATAAGGTTCATTAGTAAACTACATTAGTTAACATCAACTAATAATAAACTGCACTTCTACAGCATTTACTAATCTTTGTTAATGTTAATTTTTTTAATTTACTAATGCTTTATTAAAATCTTGTTAACATTAGTTAATGCACTGTGAACTTACATGAACAAACAATGAACAGCTGTTCAGCGGTTCTTTAATATTAATGTTACACTGTGTCCTAACTACATGCGACGCCGCGACATGCGATAAAAGGTATCTTTTCCATGTTAATCAGAGTTTTGTCCTAACCAGACGTGACGGCGACACGCGAAGTTTCTAATTTAGAAACGGTTCCTATTTCTGTGACGTCGCGGCTGACAGATTACACAGATTACAAGAAATTACACTGGTTATGAGTACACACTATTTATTTTTAGTTAAAAATAGGTCACTATGCCACAAGCGATAATGGATAATTTACCTCAGATTTTGAAAGCATAATAATATAGCATTCAAAATGAATTCTATGCAAACATACAACTGTACTTCATAACAAAATTAGTCAATGAGTATATTTTGTTAATGTTTTGATTTTTAATAATGTTATTTCTTGATTTGATTGTCCTTACCCATTTCCAATGCGATTACGGGCCAGCAGTGCGCTTTGACAGAGAGACTCCGCCCACACGCTGTTCTGAATGGCTGTGATTTTTGATTGACGTGTGGCGTCTCACAGTCGCGTCACGTCTAGTGTGGACAGACACACTTGCTGTCGCTGGAATTTTATCACGTCGCATGTAGTTAGGACATGGTGTTAAATAATATTATTGATCTCCTGCATTGACATCATTATATGAGAACTGAACTGAGCTGGACTATGACATCACGGTTTACTCCAGAGCCGCTAAATATTTGAATTTATATGAACTAAATGAATAACTTTTGTTACAACCGAAATTAACCATCACAGAAATTACTAAAGCTGAACTATGACTCTGTTTTCTTCTAGATCTGCTGTACAGCACTAGATGAAAATCACTGTATTTCTGGAAAGCGGCTTTAATACAATCTGTATATTAAAAAGCGCTATTTAAATAAAGGTGACTTGACAGCAATCTCTTTAATTTGTTTCCAACTATTTTTATTACTATTTATGTTTATGAAATAGTAATAGAAATATCTGAAAACAAATTAAAGACATCTATCTAAATGAATTCCATCTCTTTGCATTTTACAGTTGTTGTTGTTGTTGTTTTTCTTTTCACACAAGACAGATTGTAGTGTACCTTGAGATTTATGTAAAATTGTCAGGCCAACAACTAATGTTGACAACAAGCACTAATAAACTCTGCTCCTTGCACAATGTTGTATGTCCTGGTGTGTGTTAAAAGGTCATATGGTCATGTGAATATATCCCACAAATAGCAGGTCCTTGAATGCACTGTTTAAAATTTATAGGTGCATATTTACATCACCATACAAATATTATACTTTTAAGTGTTCTGGTCTGTTGTCAGTATGAGCCACAGGTATGGGGTGTGTTTGCAGTGCACAGACGTGTGCCGAGTCTAATCATGTTCTTATAAATCAGGGACGTCCTGTTAATACACAATGCCTTCACTTTTGTGTATGTGTATAGCCATGTCCCCGTAATAATACACTGTAATGACTGTCCTTATAATTTAGTTTTGTTTCATGGGCGGGGCTTGTCTATCTAATTATCAATTGTCCCCGTAAGTATGTAAAATGTCAGGTTTGTATATTATAAATTGTGTTCAGTGTATCCAAATTCTGAAGTGAAATCTATGTTGTATGGCACAAATCAGATTTTTTGATACCCATTACATCTCTGTAGAGCAAGTGGAAAGGGGTGTCCCCCTAATACACCAACAGACTGGTTTGGGCTGGAGTGTCCTTGTAATTAACAAAAACCCGTATGTGTGTGTGTGTGTGTGTGTGTGTGTGTGTGTGTGTGTGTGTGTGAATGCTACTCCCATGTTACTGGCTACTTTGGGTTTGAGTAGCAAGCTTCTTTCATGAAAGAAATCAAATTCCAAAATGTTTTTTTAATCAAACTTGGAATTATATCAATACAAACGTGTCATAAACGTAAGCTATGCCAGAGTTAAAAAATTTCAGACGATTTTATTTCATCACAGACTAGCACATCAGCACGCATGTGCTGGTCCTACTAGGAAGTACAAAACATGGGAAGTAGCTAATACGCATGCGTCACATCCTTTTCTTCCCAGAGTGGACTGAGCTGGTCGCACGCTCTACATGTTGCAGACAGTATAACTTAAGGTAAATGTGTTTGAATTAATACTTAGTTATATCGATGCATTCTAACATAAGTGAAAGTATTGTTGCAGTGATTTGTCCTGCTCATGAAATCATACGCTCGTTTAGGGATTTTCGCGTCCTGGGCTGGCCACGTGGTTGGTTCACACACGTGTTACAAAAATACGAATTTGCGACGTCGTTCAGTAGAAGCATCATTTCTCATTAATAACTTGAATTTGAAGGATTTAAGCAACCAAATCAGTCCCGAGTATTATTAAGTAAGTAATCGTCAGGACGACTCGCGCGATTTCTCATAATAATGCGTCGCATCCATGAAAAAAGACCTCATGGTGATGAGCCTGTTCATCCTGTTGCAAAACCGATCAGCCCAAATTTGTGCTTTTACTATAAATGTCATAAATTGGACGAGTATTCAAAATTTTTTAATTACCTGTTTACGTTATGACTTATTACTGAGCTTTTGAGCGATGATGTGAAGAGATCACAAATAACTTTGCTTTAGACCTCGTTTGAAGGGTTTATCTTGAGCTTAAAGTGAATACAGAAGTTTTGCTGTATTACGTTTCTTCAAGGACCGTATAATCAATATTATAATGGTGTCATCATGATTTTGTCAAATCTTGTTGTAATCATGACCTATCTTTGAAAAGGTTTTAAGTATCCCATGAGGACTGTTATAAATCATTTTGGCAGCTGCGTGTCCCAGATCTGGTGATAAATTGCTCCTTTGCCATTTGCTCTGCTGTCGGCAGGACTGTGCTCTGTCCGGCATAGGTCTGCTGTCCCCTGTGTGGCCTGACTGGTTTGGGAATGGTCTTACATGACCTGGATTGGGTAATCAGGGCTTTGATTCACTTGGAGGTGCTGTGGTCTTGGTAAAGGTCCTGACCTTGAGTTGAGCTAGCCTTGCCTAGGCCTTTGTGTTTGTGTGTGAGGGTCTACTCTCAAGCTGTGTTACAATGCCTTTTGACCTTTAGCTCATCAGTCATCTTTTTGAGGTGGAATTGAGTTTTTCATGTTCCTCTTCCATCAGTGCTGCTTATTTGAGGCATTAAATCTATAACTGAAATAACATGGGTAATTGGTATATCATTCATAACTTTCTGCTGCTTTTGTCATGTTTCTTTACTAAGAAGAATTACAAGTTAAATTTATCCCTTTTTTCAGTCTCAGAAGAAGGCAGATGAAGATGGCTGCAGCCAGTGGAAAGGATCACTGCAAAGGTAAGAAACTGAATTTGCAAAATTGTTTTTAACTAAACATGTCGACAAGATTACTGGGATGTATAGTGTGTCGGATTGGTTCGTTAAACCAAAAGCAGTGATTCCACATTTTTGCAGTTTATTTTTCATGCCACATTGGGGTGCTGATTTGATTCTGAAGCAATAGCAATTGACTATTGGTATGTGAGTAAGAACATATAGCCACCTTCACTTATCCTCACTTGGTTCAAGCATTGCTACTGATAAAGTGCAGATGAAGAGAAATATTTTTTTTAGATGTGCATTATAAATGTGTTAATGTTTTTCTTTTGTGTGAAATGAATGTTGAGGAATGCTTGTTGCCATGATGAGTCACGTTTTGCCGTTTACCCATCAGACCAAAATGGATTGCTGATATTGTGACTATCTGAAGCAACAGAGTTGATTAGCCTGTAGCCTGTTTGAGATTTAAGCAGCATTAAATTTGACTTTACTTCTCCCCCCACCAGGTCCAATGATTATACTAGGAAAGAGGGTTACTTGAGCAGTTCAGATCTTGAAGACTGGCAAGTTATTTTTCTTTTTGGAGTGATAAATATGTGTTTTTGAAATTGCTTGTCACCATGATGATATCACATTTTCGCCGTTTACCCATCTGACCAGACTGGGTTGTTGACACTGTGACTATCTGAAGCATAAAGGAACAGCAGAATTGAATTGACTACCCAGAACCCCATTTGAGAATACAACAGTATTAATTTTATTCTATCTCCCCTACCAGATCGAAGGACTGAATCTAGAAAATGGTGACATGAAAAATGCAGATGAATGAAGACCGCTTACTTTTATACTGGTAAATAATTGTATACAATTCATTCTATACTTGATGTCTTTCACCATGATGATATCACATTTTCGCCGTTTACCCATCAGACCAGACTGGGTTGTTGACACTGTGACTATCTGAAACCTGAAGCAACAGCAGAATTGAATTGACTACCAAGAATCCCATTTGAGAATACTACAGTGTTGATTTTATTCTACCTCTCCTACCAGATCGAAGGACAAACTAGAAAATGGGGACAGAAGTGCTGATGAATGAAGACTGGTTAGTTGCAATACTGGTAAGTTGCATACATTTTAATTCTATATTTGATATTAATGTCATTTGCTATGATGATTTCACATTTGCCGTTTACCCGTCAGACCAAATTGGGGTGCTGAAACTGTGACTTTCTGAGGACATGACCTGACTTTAAATAGGCAAAAGCTTAGTTCCTACTTGTAATACCTTGCTTCATTCCTCTATACAGGTTGCGTAGGTGTGCACAAAATTCAAGATCTGCTTGCGGGATTCTTCCAGTGTAAGGTCCCTCTGGTGTAGGGAGTCCAGGTCATGAAGAGCACAGGGAAACACTGCATCAGGTGGAAAAACAAGCGCAGAGGCCCCTGCATTCCCAAGACAAACTTTGTCATTCTCAAACACTCGACACACGCAGTAACAGGAGCTTGATCCTAACTTTAAACTAGTAATGAACTGCAAAAGTGAATGGGTTGATCAAATGCACATTGAAATAAATTCTTTAAAAAAGACATTCCTGTTTTTGTTTTTTTACTGAATGTCATTTTAGAATGAATGGATTTCAAAGTTTGTTTAGACTTTAGAAAGACATAAAATGAAGGAACTAACCATGTTTTAGGGTGACCGAACTCTCGCACAGTAGTACTGCAATGACTGCATCTTCCTCCAGAACTTGCTTTCTCAGACTGAGTTTAGCATGAGCCTGGGCCAGAGAAATCCTAACAGAACCAGTAAACAATATTAGTTGTGTATAAAATTGTATATATTTTTTTTTAATCTACAGTTGTTACTGCTTGTTTTACAGTAATAGTTAGATTATTTATGCTTTATTCCCTCATCCCTTTTTAAGTAGTTGTTTGGTGTACTAATGTCTTCAATCTATTTCAAAATGAACTATTGCATGTTTTCTGACAATCTGTTGGAAATGGGGAAGCCCTTAATTTGCAGACTTGCAGTATAACTGCTCCATCTAGTGGTCTAATATGGCTATGTACAGAAGAGATGCCAAATGTCACTTTCCTTTTAAAAGGTAACCGTTTCAAACTGGTAACTTTGTAATGCTTACAGCAGTTTGACAGAGACAGAGGATCTCTGTGTGGAGTCTGAGCGAACCCTGCGACTGCCCATGTAATAGCCATGGATCATCCTTTCCGCCTCAGGGCTCATGTCGACTTTCAGCTCCCTTGCATGAGCCAAGAGCTAGAAGATATTCAAGTGTGGAAAAACATGCTATTTTTCAAGTAATTAAGTCGTAGATTACTTTACATTTCAAACTAGTAAACTGAAAAAGAGACAGCATTCCAAATACAGTGTTGTACTGTGCACTACTGGCCAAACGTTAACATATATATATTTTTTAAACGAAGCCTTTTGTTCACTAAAGAAATAAAAACAGACATTAAATAATATGCTGAGTTCATGCCATGTCATAATTGCAAAAATTTCAACTCTGACCTGGGAAATGTGTTTCTATTGCAACACTGGTTAAATGAATCAGCAGTGGTCATGTGGTACAAGTAGGAGCTCTCAAATTACTAGTTTGTAATTACAATCTCAACGAGGACGTGGATGCGTTACAAGTTGAAATCTCATAATTATGATATGATGTGAATGCACCTTTATTAAAATTTTAAAGGGGTTTCAATCCTTTTGACTGGTAGTGTATTATTGACAGACCTCTTTGTAGTCTTGTGTGGTAAACTGCATGCATGCTGGGTAAAGTGGTTCTCTTGGACACATGGCCTGTCTCAGGGTATGCACTGTCATGGACAGAAGTGGATGATTGCCGCTTGTTTCTCGACACTGGACTACGAGTCCAAATGCCCCTGCGAGTTGAAGGGGAACCGAACCCATTTCCTGCATTTTA